TTTTAGGATCCTGAAATTCCCATTGATTATGGGTGTTTCCATAAATGGGGGTACCCCAATAGCTGGGTGGTTTATAAGGGAAATTTCCGATAAAATGGAGGCTACCCCCATTTCTGGAAACCCCCATTTCTGTTGGGTTAACTCCCCAGTGTCGTACTTTTCCTTGACCAAGGTTTGACACAACGATAGGTAGTGATAGGTAGTGATGTGGGACCCTGCTGAAAGGCAATTTGCAAATCGCCCGGCAAGGTACTCCCAGAAACACTCATTTAGTGTTGAGCGGCTTCATCTTTGGGGGGGGCCAAACTGGAAATGTTCATACTGCATTGGCTATTTATATACCCACGTTGCAAGATGGTGAAACAATGCTAAACCATCATTTTGGATGGTTGAACCATTCTACAAAAGAAAAGTCCTCATCCTCTTCCGAAAGGCTCTTCTTGTATAGCAGCCTCAGGCAGGTTCCACTTGCAAATCAAAGGGATGTATCACCAACAAGAATACCAATTTTAACCTGCAAACGATTGCGACTTCACCAGCAAAACCAAGATGTAACCAAAATTTTGGTATCAATCGATCTGATACGAACTCTATTTATGTTTTTTGGACATTTTCGTTGAGGAAGTCCTTGCTTTTGACCGTCCAAACATCGTGGAGCCCCGGGTCATCCCAGGTTGGAAGGCCCTTGAAGCTGCAGCTAGGATAGAAAACCCTGAAAACTGGGTGCGAAGTGGGAACTTCCATCCCAAATGCTCCATAATCCTGAAAAAAAATACCAACATTTACACCAAAAATGACCCAGTCAAGTAGGCATATGTATCATACATGGACCTTCTAGAATGGGCCATGGGCATAATATTGAAAACATATCACCAATTGTTCCACCTAGTTACCAATATATATATATACATGATATATTAACTATCATATAACATCATACTAATATATATGGTATATCCGATACTTAATGATAGTTACCACTTGGGTTAAATATACCAGCACCACGGAGCAAACTGGTCTGGTTTTCCCGAGGTCCCAGCACCCCAGACGAGAGGAAATACATCGCTTCCGCCTGGCCGCAACAACCCCCAATTGTCTGGGGGAAGGAACGCCATTGGAGGTGCAAGAGGGAAAAATGCAAGTAAAACGAGCAGCTGTTTGGGGAAAACATTGGAAAACCAGTGTTTAAAGCTTAACTGCCAAACCACAACATGATTAACACATATCAACCATCTAAACTTGGACCGCATTTATCCATCATCTTGATGTGCAATAGCATCCTTGGCCATAGTGGAATATGATGGGATACAACGGGATACAAGAGCCTAAGGGGATGTCCTCAAAGGAAACCATGTTCAGTGCCATCTTTTGGCTGCGAACCCCATCAAAATTCAAAATGTGGTTCTTTAGTTTGAAACCCATGGATCCCATCACCAAAAATATGCAGTTCTGAAGGGGAATATAAATGACGTTAAACGCAAAGTACCTATGGCTCAGCAATACTCAACATCAACCCATTGGGTGGCTGCAATGCATCTGAACAACACCGGAAATTCGAGAACATCCCCCCAAAAAACACTGGTTGATCATGATTTTCCCCCCATGAAACTTGTAACATTTTAGGTATTCCAGTTGGCAAATCCACCTATCATTTTTTGGGTTATAAGAGTTATATGTCTGATCGTATCCAACGAAATGGTTGGTTGGTTTGATACCTCATTTCTTCTGTTACCAAAATCCAGGAAAAAACATCTACAACTATATATGTATGTATAGACTTGTATATATACCAACTAAGCTGAACCTACCATGTTTTCATCATTATTGTCCATCATATGAGCTAGGTTTATCTTATTCTACCCACATTTTCCCCAGGTGAATTCCAAACTGTCCCTCGTTAAGCGCCCCATTTGCATCATTAAAAAACCTCGACGCAACAGCACAATGTCCACCTGCTCTCCGGTGACGAAGAGGAAGTCGTTGTGCGCCAGTTGCTTCGTGGTTAAGGCCTGGCGACCGTAAGGACGCGACAGGTGGAAGGTGAGGCCGCGTCGAACATGGTGAGTTTAACAAATGGGTGAAGTTAAGGAAGAAGTCATGGAGATTTATATATGATTTATGATAGCTAGACTGTTAACTTGGTGTATTTAGGTTATTTTCCCACTATAAGTGAATTCTATTGGATTGATGGTGGATATACCTAAACTAATTCATAGGGGTTTCTAAACCACAAGAACAACTCGGGGTGCCCACCCTAGCCATTGCAGGTGGGCAGCACCCTGGGCCCCCCAAATAATCCCAAATACATAGCCGACATAGCCATTGCCAAAAGCACGAGAAAAACCTGGGTTTGTCCATAAATTGGTGGAAATTCTGCCAATATACATCGATCTCTGCCCAGAAAAAATGCCAGTGAATATGAGAAACATGTTGGGAAACACATTTTTCGGGGGACCTCGACGAGGACAAACATGGACAAAGCCACCTTTCAGACCCGGCCGTTCCCGGGGCCCACCGGCCCGGCCGTTCAAGCACCTTGGTGCACAAGCGCTGCAACACGATGGTCCCGTTGTTCTCCATGTTCTCGAAGAGCGGGTGGATGATCTGAACAGCGAAGATGACGAAGGCTGGATGCTGGGAAGCCAACCCCTGACGGTTTACAGGAAAGATGTCAAGGAACATCCCAAGGTTTCATGGTAAAACATGGTAAAACCATGTAAAAACTGAGGTTTCCTGTCGATGTTCATAGATTTTTCCTCAGCCCATTGCTAACTGACTGCTGGTTTTGTCCAAAATAAATGGACTATCAAAAACTGTAGCTCGTTGTTGGTGAAATTTTGGACCCACCCTTGGTTGATCAAGTATACATCAAAATACAAATGAGGCACCCTTTGCGCTGTCAAAGTCTGATTCATGACCCCCTCTACTTTGGAGGAAACCTCACATCCAATAGACTCCAACAGATTCAAACCTACCTGCATATGCCTCATCCTACTTCACCATACTTACCTTTCCAATCCACAAACCCACCCTGCAGCTGACTAAGTGACTCACAGTCGTTTATTATTGAGATGGTGCCTATCCATCCAAATTACTGGGTCTTCCTAGGTTAGGGGTGCAACCCACTTAGTAAATGGACATCAACCATCTCATAACCCACTTACACACGGAACACGTGTACTGTATCTTTGTATAACTATGAGTAGGTGCTTTATTCACAACATCCACATCATATCACATTGTATCATATCATCCATATATACACCTGGTAAATGCTGGTAACAAATTACATAATCCATATACATATATACATATATATATATATGTACCTGGAACAGGTTGGTAACAGCTTAACACATTCCATATATAATAAATAAACAAACAACTAAATAATATAATATATATATATCCACCGTGTTGAAACGATTCACTTAGCAACCTAATCTTTTCCGACATAAAAGGCTCATCATAAAAGGCTCCTCGACCATCCCACGCCCCACGCCCTTCGCCCAAGCGGCTAAGTGCGGTTTGTTCATCTCGAAGGTCAGCTCTCCAAGGAGCTGCTCCTGGGGTCTGCTGAGATTGGTGAATCACTGGGCTCAATAACCGCTGATTTCATGGAATTTGACTGATATTATAATGGGATTATAGTGATTTAATGGGATGTTATAGTAATTTAGTGGGATTTTATAGTGATTTAATGGAATTTGACTGGTATTTTAATGGGATTATAGTGATTTCATGGGATATTCATGGGATATATCCTCTGGTGAACGTTTACATGGCTATGGAAAATCAAGATTTTTAATGGGTAATTGAACTATCAATGGACATTTTCAATAGCTATGTTAAATTACCAGGGGATAATCACTGGCCAATAACTGGTCAATGATGGTTAATAACTGGTTAATCACTAATAAGTAGCAAATAATGGTTCATAACTGGTGATGAATGGTGTGAATCACTGGCTAATAGGTGACAAATAACTGATAGCTGGTTGTGAATCATAAATGGTATAACATGTCTTAGCGGGTAATAGTTATAAATATAATTGGTTAATCATAACTGGTGATGAGTGGTTCAGAACTGGTTCTTGATTAACAGCTTTGCAAAGATTAATTTTTCCTTACACAACTTCCAAGTACAGTTGAGGAAAAAGCGAAACTTTGAGCAAACAATTACATAGTGTTCTTATAGTGTTTGAAGTACAGTCCAAGTTGAATGCAGTAAAGTGAAAGTTGAGTGAAGTTGTTCACATTTTGCGAAGCAGCAACTGGCAGCAACATCTAACCAGTTTTTTTAATTGTTTAACATGTCTTTGAGGCAAATCGGATATTGAAGCAAAACGAGTAGCCAAAAACAAGGCAAGCATCGTCATCACCCAAGGTTTACCATGATCTCATTGGGAAGGTTTGGGTTCAGATGCACACAGGGTGCAAGGGTGCCCCCTGCCGCTGTCCCTAACCTGAGCGGAACTGCGCTGAGCCATTGCAGATTCCGCGGGCATCGCGTGCGCTTTGCGGGACGCTTTTGCCTTGAGGCTGTGGTCCTGGGCAGGCCACTTCCTCTGATCTTCCTCGAGTTCATCCTTTGGTTTTCACCGGGTTGTTCTGGTTGATTTGCCCCACAACATTTTCACTGCCAGGCTTTGTAATTCTGTGGTTTGACCTTGTCACTGCTTTTACATCCCTCGGCATTCCCTGAAGTTTCACTTCGGGACGGGTATCTTCGGTCTCTGCCTTAACCGGAGTGGATTTTGTGGTGTATGAGCTCCTCTTTGCTCTCAATTTTGGTAATTTTACTTGCTTCATCTACTCATCGTGACTTTGTCTACGCACAGAAGACTGGCCAGGAGGAAAAGAGCCAAGGCTCGCAGAAACTGGTGGCTGTACCGCAAAGGATACATTCAGCTCACTGCTCTGCAATTGAAGCATTTGAAGGCCTTGTTGGCCCCCCATCATTCCAAAGACAGTTCCTTCCTTCAGCTCATTCAGTCAGCAATGGATGCAGATTGGAACGGGCCGTGGAAGTGTGCCAGCTGTGGCAAAACGAACGGCAAGAAAGCTGCGTTTTGCGACAGATGTGGAGACACGTGGGACAATGGAACGCCTCACGATACACAGCAGAAATCCAACACAGTTCAGGATGGCTGGACGTACAGTCGTTGGAAAGACTGGCAATCCAGCGCATATCGGAATTGGGAAGACTCCTCAGCTTCATCCAGAAGTTCGTCAAGGAGACAACCCGCTCAACAGAAGCAAACCAACCGTCGAAAGAAGAAACGAGGACAGCCAAAAGTTCCAGCCCCTCCACCCAAGGGTCGAGGCAAGGGAAAAAAGGCTGCTGGACGCGATGGGCAGCAGCATTTGCCGCCCTTGCCACCACCTCCAGCTCCACCCCCATGGCCTACACTGGATTCGGCGGCATTGTTGGCGACCAACACCAACACTGTACCTCCAACAGATCCGAACACTTTGGCAGTCACTCATCAGTTACAAGCAGACAATCGAGAGTTTGCCCGCCTCCTACGGGATGCTTATCCGGATGTGCAGTCGCGCCCACCAGAAGCGGCCGCAGCCATCGACCGTGCAGAGCAAGGCATGAAGAAGAGTGTCACGAAGTCACTGCATGTGGCTACGTCAGCCCTCGACAAAGCCCAGAAATTGCTCACCGAAACTGCAGAAGCGCGCAGGATTCACCGCAACAGTTGGTTGGCTCATCTCACGGAAAGCATCAAGACTTGGGAATCGCAGCTCGAAACTTACCGCAAACATGGTGCGGCTCTCCACGAGGTTGCTCAGAAAGCAAGAGCAGATATTGCAGCTGCTCGGGCCGATATTCAGCGACTCAGTACCCAAGAACCAGGGGACAGCTCAGCATTAGCAGCGGCCACCATTGCGGTCGCCGACGAAGGTCAGGTCGAAGACCAAACCGATGCCGACGAGGAGAGACTCAGAGCACAACTTCAAGGAGTTCTCCAATCCTGTGCAGGTTCTTTGGGCGTGGCAATCGCTCCAGCTCGAGGTACAAACCATCATTTCAGACGAGGAGAGAGACGTGGAACGTGGCCACAACAAACGTCCACGTTCTGTCGAACCGGGTGCCGGAGTACCCTCCTCGTGAGGGTTGGCAGTGCAGGGTCAGTTCCATTTGTGTATGAACTGCATGAAGCCACAGGTATGTGCCGAGATTCGTGGATGGTTGAGGCCTATGGTGCTAGTTTTTCACAGCACTGTGCAGCATGCCATCCGTGGACCCCAAGTCGGTATCTTTTGCTCCCATATTGTCATTCAGTTTGCTTGGAAGAACGTTTTCAGAACATCCATACTGCAGTTGACAAAGCGCTCAAGCTCCGTTTTTCAGTTTTGTGTGATGACTGGAGTGTAGTGAGGAAACACTTGCTCTCAGAACCCAGCAATGGGGAGGGTACGGTAGTCTGCTCCCCATGCACAACAGATCGTCCTCAAAACACCGGTAAGGCATTTGGCTTTTCTAGGAGGAACAAATTGAAGGGCTTAGTTTGTTTTTCTCCACATGTCACTGTCTGTCATGATCATGCTCAGCAGGTCTTAACGTCAGTTGATTTGGATGCCTTCCACTTTTGGGAAGGGAAAACGTGGAAGCTTAGAAAGCGCAAAACCGGTCATGCTCTAGGGTTTGCATGCCGGGTCTCCCAACTTTGTGAGGTGATCGACTCGGACCGTACATGTGATGCATGTAGGCATGACATGGGCCCACGATGTTCACTTTTGCAAGAATCCCAGGAACCGCTGTCGCTTCCGGCCGTGTTGATCCGGGATCACTGCGATGATGTGCACAGGTTTGTAGGGTCTCATGCCACTGACGATGTTCACTCTTCAGTCTTAGGTGAAGTTTCCAATTTTTCTGATCAGCCTCAAGGGTCCCAGGAACCGCTGTCGTCTTCGGCCGTGTTGATCCGGGATCAAGATTGTACGCATTTTGAACCTAGCAATTTGCTTGAGAGTTGTGCCCCAAGAATTGCATTAGGTGACATTACCAACATTTCTCAATGTTTTGACAAAACCTCCGATCATGCATTCATGGCCTTGATTGATGAAGACGTAGCTTCGTTTATGCAGACGACAAATCCAAAATCCACTACATGCAAGCAATCGCCATTTCCTGATGATGGAAATCCAATCTTGGAAGGGGTTGCGCAGGGACAGGTTGATCCTGTTCCTCTTGAAGGATCCTCGCCCTCAAACGATGCCATGTCTGATGGGTATTCTGCATCTGTGGCTACGGACTCTTCACAGGCTGTTCCACCAAGCACTGCTGGGGGAAGGCATGAATCGATTTTATATCACCTTGCTGACCCACCAATCCGTGTTTTCCTGGATTGGTCCGACCACGACACCATGATTCAAGAAATTGCGTTTCATTTCGGTCGGGATCCTTTGGAAGTGATTGATGCTTACGAGGTTTTGCCATACCCTCATGATACACCTGAAGGTGCCACTCCGATTATTGTTCACATCTTTGATGATGTCGCAGTAGGTCAACCTGCCAAGTTGGTGCTTCTTGACACTGAACTTCACGGTCACTCCTTCGAAGTCAACTATGTCACTGGACCCACAACCACGCGCACAGTCGTTCGGTTACCGGAACGTTGCACCAGATCTTCAGTGTTGATATCTGCAAACGTAGACTTGTACTGCCGGCAAGAGGCGGACACTTGCTTCGTTTGGCATGGGCACACCAGATGGGCAAACACTGATTTCCAGCCCCGTGTAATCTCCCATGGTGCGTATTTCCGGGTTGCGGCCCCTCCTACCAGTAGGTTCATTTGCTCAACAGTTGAAGCAGTTGCTCTTTCGCAACAAGGTCTCTCGGACCAGGAGCTCTTGGATCAAATGACCGAACAGGAGGTTGGCTTGAACCTATCACCCTCATTGCTTTCATCAGATGATGTCAGACACCTCGCTCGAGATGAATCGCCAATTGATGATGATGAAGTTTTTCAAGCGTTGCAAGAGCGTCTTATTCTCACCGACGTCTCTGTTCCACCTGCAATTGGCGACGGTAGAGTCTCTGGTGATCAATATGCAGCAGCACCAAGTGAGCATTGTGATGCTGTTAGCCCTAAAGAAGGCATCGATCTGCCAGCCAGTAACTCTGAGCCGACCTTTTTCGAGTTCAGGCCGGATGCACCTGTTTTTACACCGGGAGCTCCCACTGATGATTTTGACCACATGCATCTCTACACAATTGCCACTCAATGGCTTGCAGCAGCGCAAACCTGGGACGAATCTGTGCCCTCAGCTCGCTTCATCACGTGGCGAGTGTCTCCTGCGACTGGACGCAGATTTTGCCTTGACAGCAGAGAAGTTGTTTTGTATGGCGATATGGAGAATTGGAGACAAAGGATTCTACAGGCCTGGGCTGATCAAACTGATCCGATGGTTCCTGCAGACATCATTTCAGTCAGTCCGCACCCCTCCAATTTGGAGCCAGGTGTTGCCGGCCATGTTATCGTACAGCAACACATCCTTGACACTCACGCTGCTGCTTTGGTGACCATTGTGGATCCTGCTGTGAATCATGGACTCTTTCACCGACAGGTTCATGTTTTCGAAGATAGGTCTCGACCAGAAGACGTTTTGTTTTTCATAGGATATCACATGGATTGTCCTCGAGTTGCTGAGTGTCAGGTCAGGTTACGTGATGTCCTTTTGCCACCTCAGACACCGATTCCCATTCGTGACGGTGATGCTTTTGAAGTCAGCATATTGAGGACGTTCTTACCTGCCAACTGGATACCCCCAACGATCCCACGCTTCATTGAACAGGATGAAGTTGCACTTTTTCAAGTCTCTGCTGTACAGCATAGCCCAGCTGCAATTGGGACCGACAATCTCAAGACTGGCCAAGTTGCCGATTCTCATGATTTGGCACCAAGAAAATGCAGCTTCACTGATGAATTTGTCCAAGCAGTTCGTCGTCTCAGTGAAGCGCAGGACCAAGACCCATTGCCTATGCTTGATTCGGTTGAAGACAGTGCTCTGCCACCAGCCTTGCGTGAATTGTGGGAACTGAGGCAAACTGAGGTTCTTCAGGATGGAGCTGATCCTGCCACTCAGTTTCGAGTAGAGACCTGGTTTTTAGATCATGTCAATTTTGACAGATGCTATCATTCCAGGATTGTCACTCTGACACTTGACACCAGTACCTGGCTTCCCGCACTGCTGCAGCAATGGATGGATCGTAGGGAAGTAGGTGCAAGGGTTGATATTGCATTGGTATACCCTGCCTCCGAAGACCAGGCGCCCGGTACCTCTGCGCAGCTGATTCTCACTCAGTTTCCGCAGGATGACCTGCGCAGTATCTTGCTTTCTGTATATGACACAGGCAGGACCCATCCGACACCTCGCACGTTTGGCTTAGTTCATGGAGCTTCCATTTCACTTCGAAGTGCCCTGGAGGAGGTACGCCTTGTCAATGACTGCCCTCCGCATGTCCGATATAATGAATGTGCGTTATGGTTTGGCTCCACTGTTATCCCAGTGCAGCGGCAGGTCTATGTCAGAACCGGAAATGCGTTCCGTTTATGCATTCGCAGGGGTCAATTGATCAACTTACAAGATTTGCTTGCACTGCCTGATGCTCAGCTTCGTCGGCAGTTGCAGGATGCCATCCACGGCGAAATCTACCGTAGGCCACCAGGGCCTGGTTTCCCCGGTGATCTCATGGATGTTAACCCATTGCCAGAGGTCCCAAGCAGGCCCCAGGCCAGTTCTGCCAATGACCAACCCCAACAGGGCCCTAGGCTACCGCAATGGATTCATGCACTTAACCAACTGTTCGCGCATCATTCAGCCACTGAATTGCTGGAGGAAGGTCCAGTACTGTACGTTCAGTCTTGGTATGTCAACGGTTGCTCTCACATGTGGTGCACTGAACCACGATCAGTGCGCCTTACCAGTGATTTTCCTTTGTGGCGTACTGCCTTTGCACAGGCTTGGCATGATCGCATTCAAGGTTCTTTGCCTGCGGAATTTTGGGTGGTTCAGCCTATTCCCCCTTTTTCACCGAGCCAAGGGTTTACAGTGCATGTCATTGTGTCGCAGTCCTTGCACCCTGATCAGACTGCTGTACTGTTGACAGCCACACAAGACCAAACACCAGATGTGGTTTGCCAGCACGCTGCTTACGTGTTGCCTCGACGCTCTCTAGGGGAGGACCTCGCGAGATTTGCTGTGCCGCCATGGTTTCGATCTTCCATCCTCACCGTGCTTTTTGCAGGCGCTGACCATCCCTTGGATGCCTATGTCAACCTCCACTCTGGTGGAAATGTTGTTGTGCGTTATGGGGAGTTCGACCGTGCTGCATCTACCGGCCCGCATGATGGCTTGATGATGTTACAGCTCAGTAGCCGAATTTCTCTTGCTGATGCAATTGAGGTTGGGACTGACGACATTGATGGCATTCCATTCTCTCTTGGGGCTTTCTTCAGTTCAGGTGCCACTGAGGATAAGCCCATTCAAGTCTGTGTATGGGAGATGCCCAACGGTTGCAGTGACACTGTCATGGTGTTTAAAGATCAGCCTTCTGTAGACCTGGGACACGAGTTTCGACGGAAGCATGACTTTCTGCGCCATGTTTCTCAACTGTTTGGAGTCCAGTTTGTGCGACCAGAATGGACTATGCAGTCCTGCCAGATTCAGGTAGGGTCATTTCAAATCCCACATGCTGATCAGGCTATTGTTTTTTGCATCCGTTATCAACCTGACGGTGCAGTTTACAGTGTCCGAACACTGCCTTCATGCTTGCCCCTTGCAGCCTTGAGGCAAATCCTGACGGTCAAACATGGCTCCTTTGTGCGGTGTAATGGCCTTGTTCTGTCTGCTGATGTCCATTTGAAGCATGCAGACGTTTTGGAATACCACGCGGCTCCTGGACACGATGGTATCTCATTTTCACTCAGTTGCTCTAGGGTTCAGCTTTGTCTGGAAGCCTCATTGCCGTCTCTCGTTAGCCCCTTTGATGAAAATAGTGATGCCACCTTACTCTTGCAGCATCCGCACATTGCCAGAGATCTCAGTGACAATGCCGAGTGGTCATTTGTCAGGATTCCTGAAGGCCTTGATTTGCATCCGGCCACT